TAATAAACTTTCAAATCTTAAGCTATACCAAAATGAAAAAAACTCATGTAAACATTAATATAAAAAATAAGTAATAATAAAAGTAGTACCATAAAAAATATAACGAACAAATAATATTTATATCTATATTTAGTTAATATCTATATCTAGATAATATTAAACTAATCAAACTATAAAAAGAAGATCAAAATAACTTTTTTTACTCAAAATATCTAGCTAACGATTTGTATTTCTTTGCAGAATTTTGAAATTCTATTCTATCAGCTGCTCATTTCCTAATTTGGTTAGGCATGTTAACTCTATCACTTGCTTTTAAGATTTAGTGTTAGTAGAGAATCGTAAACTATCAAGAGATTATTTTTCATTTTTCGTTGACAAACGATTTCACAATGACAACTAAATTTATGAAATTATCTAGGTTTTTTTCATAAAGTTCAAACTGTTTGCATTTATGGACAAATTTCAAAAAATTAAAAAAAAATTTTAAAAAATCCAAATCTTTTTTTTACCTAAAATTAAAAATAACAAAACAACCAAAAACCAAAAATAATTCTTTTACACTGCAAAATTGCTTTATTAATCAACTAATATTCCTGAAAAAAAACTCAATGTTAAAAAGTTATTTTTAATTATTGAGAATATATAAGGTTTTTGAGAAGAGTGTCCGCTTTGCTCTTCACTCTACTTTCTTTCTTTATTTTTTATTAAAAAAGTTAACTTCTTAACACTGCTCAATTGCTCTAATAAACAACTATATTTCAAAAAAAGAAAATCCTAAAAATTCTCAATATTAAAAAAGTTATTTTTTAGTTAATGAGAACTTTATATCTTTTTGTGAAGAGTGTCTGCATTGCTTTAAACTCTACCTACTTATATATATATATATATATATATATATATAAATTATATTATATATATATATATATATATATATATATATAATATAATTTATATATAATTTATATAAATTATATATATATAATTTATATAAATTATATATATATATATTATATAATATATATATATATATATATATATATATATATATATATATATATATGTATATGCATACATACAAATATATATATATTTTCCTTTTGCGCCCTAATCCATACTAAACTCTATATAGAACTGTTCCATATTAAAGTGCATTCCTAGAACAATTTCTAATGTCTCTGTCATAAATGGTATAGCTAAATAAAAGTGTTCATATGCAGCATCTCTTTCTAACCATCTTGTTTTGCACATCCTTATCAAAATCTTTTTTCTTTCAGTTGATTTACAACGGATCTCTGCAACATGCTTTAGCAAGCGTTCTCTTTTTTCGAAGAGATATTGAAATAAATAGATATATTTCTGTATACCGCCAAAATGTTATCAATGATTGGTGTTTTTGATGTTACAGCAATTGATAAATTTAAATTATGTGAGCTACAATGTGTTACAATTGCTTTTGATGATCCTTTTAAAACTAGCTGGCAACACCTTTTCTTACAGATTGCATGTTTGGTGTGCCATCATGACACTGGCCTTTGCAAGAACTAAGATCAATTCCACTTTCGCTATAAAATTTCTTAAAGTTTTCCCCAATATGTTTGCCTGTTATCCTGTCAAGATTCAAAAAGTCAAGAAATACTTATCTAATTTCTTTTTCTCCGTTTTCATATCTCTTACTTACTGATAAAATTTGTTGGTTTGCAGTTGTTACCTTGTCTGCTGAAATTGAATGGTAATTTGCAGCTTTAATTTCATTAATTAGCCGCTCTTATTTACATTTCTTTCCATTTATATCAATTAATTCATGTTGACTCTTGGGGCCAAAGTAGCTGACATTTTTGCGTAATGGTGTTTGTATATGTCCACTAAGTTCAGCGTTATAGCAAGCTACTTCTTGCACTATTGCAAAAAAGTTTACAGGATTACCTTTTTGGTCTGAGTTTTCCATACACTTTTCATATGTTTCATGAAATGCAAGTCTTTGTTTCTCCATAAAATGCACAATTCTACCTAATGTTTCAACAATGTTCGATTATATTTGTTGCTGGTTTTTTAAAGTGCTATTACTTTGTAATTGAATGGTTTGTCTTAAATCTTCAAAACTACAAAAAATGCCATCAGCTTTTTCAATAGCTTTTTTATGGTATCTATTGCCTATATGTAGTTTTTGTTTCTCTAAAAAATTGTGTTATTCCTTATATCCATGGTTAACAAAAGCTCGTAAAGATTTTTTTTATCTAGCTTTAGAAATTAAGTGCATTATATGCAGTAGACTGTGTTTTCACTTTTGCTAAATCCATTTTTTAAATAATCTTTTTTACAAGCCCGTTTTCAACCATGTTTTAATGTTTTGGAAAATTGATAATGTATTTTCTGGTTTAAGTTTTCTATTATAATTTTTTTAAATATTTTTTGTGGTGATAATTTTTGGTTTCCGCGCAAGAGTTCATCAATATCAAATCGTTTTTCTTCTTCTTTAAAGTCACATTTTTTTAAATTTGTTTAATTCACATTGCATGACAAGTTTTTGTTAACATAATTATCATCTTTAATGACCTCTTTTTTTTCTTCTATTTCAGGTAATATTTTATCAGTTACATTTGGAGAACTGTCGATAATAAAATAACACTTAAAACGAAAGTAATTATTAATAAACTTTCAAATCTTAAGCTATACCAAAATGAAAAAAACTCATGTAAACATTAATATAAAAAATAAGTAATAATAAAAGTAGTACCATAAAAAATATAACGAACAAATAATATTTATATCTATATTTAGTTAATATCTATATCTAGATAATATTAAACTAATCAAACTATAAAAAGAAGATCAAAATAACTTTTTTTACTCAAAATATCTAGCTAACGATTTGTATTTCTTTGCAGAATTTTGAAATTCTATTCTATCAGCTGCTCATTTCCTAATTTGGTTAGGCATGTTAACTCTATCACTTGCTTTTAAGATTTAGTGTTAGTAGAGAATCGTAAACTATCAAGAGATTATTTTTCATTTTTCGTTGACAAACGATTTCACAATGACAACTAAATTTATGAAATTATCTAGGTTTTTTTCATAAAGTTCAAACTGTTTGCATTTATGGACAAATTTTAAAAAATTAAAAAAAAATTTTAAAAAATCCAAATCTTTTTTTTACCTAAAATTAAAAATAACAAAACAACCAAAAACCAAAAATAATTCTTTTACACTGCAAAATTGCTTTATTAATCAACTAATATTCCTGAAAAAAAACTCAATGTTAAAAAGTTATTTTTAATTATTGAGAATATATAAGGTTTTTGAGAAGAGTGTCCGCTTTGCTCTTCACTCTACTTTCTTTCTTTATTTTTTATTAAAAAAGTTAACTTCTTAACACTGCTCAATTGCTCTAATAAACAACTATATTTCAAAAAAAGAAAATCCTAAAAATTCTCAATATTAAAAAAGTTATTTTTTAGTTAATGAGAACTTTATATCTTTTTGTGAAGAGTGTCTGCATTGCTTTAAACTCTACCTACTTGTTTTTTAATAAAAATAAAATTAGTTAACTTCTAGAAAAATCTTTTTATTATAGAAAAAAAAATCAAATATATTTTATCCAGTGCAAAATAAACAAAGAATTAAACTTCAATTTTAATTGTCAAATCTTAAGAATTAAAGGAAAAGTTCATCAAGTTTAAACAACAATAACAAAACAACCTATAATTTACCTTCAGACTAAAAAAAATGTTTTAATGAAATAAAAACTAGACAACAGTATACAAACAAAGGGTTTGAAAAAATCTATGGTAACGTTATGTCAAAAAAATTAAAAAATACAGAAATATAATATAAGTATTCTTTAGCAATTAAATTAATACAATTATTTAGTTTTATATTTACTTAACATATCACAACTTAATTTCCTAATGAATCTGTTCAAAATGCAATAGGATAATTTAGGCTTTATTTTTCTTTGATTATTTTCTATTTGTTTTAAAAATTATTAAAAAATTGTAAAACAAATAATACATATTTACAATAACATTATTCACATGGCTATATATAAAAAACGAAACTAAAAATAGAAAGAAAAATATGTTTATGAAAATTATAAAATAAGGGGTTGTTGTTTAGAAACGAAACGTTTATTGTGCTGATTTATAATTAATTCTAACTAGTTCTGAAAAGAATTTGCTAATTCTATTTAATTTGATCTATTTGATCAAATTAAAAAGAAGCTTTTGTTGTAAGCTTGTAAGTATATTGCTGATACAGGTTTGCTTGTGCAGCTTTGGTTTGAGCTTTATAAAAATTGTTATGTTATTATCAATAAATTTGTTTTTCTATTGATATGATAGATTTAATATTTTTGTCTTTAATAATTTATTTTAAAAAACCAATCATAAAAACTATGATTGGTTTTTTAAACTTTTATTATAAAATGATGTTATGAAAAAAAGCTCCAAATATTTCAACTCTATGGATAATGTGAAGTCAATAAACAATTAATATGCACTTAGCAACCTGTAAAATTGGCATTATTGTGATACCAAGAAATATCTAACAGCTTGGTAACAGGCTGGAAAGGATGGGGTTCCATTAATGAAAGCACAATTAACCCAAACTATTTTTTAAACAGTTCAAGTTTTTTTTTTCAAAGTGGCATAGATGCAGTGTTATAACATTTTATTATTTGTGACTGTTATGATTCAAGACATTGTTTTAAAAATAGTTAAATATTCAATAATAAGTAATAAATTTAAAATAGTTGATAGTACAAAATTCATCCAACAAAAGGCATACCATAAAGACAACCCAAATTAAAAAAATAACCCTAACAAAAATTTTTATTGTTAACTTGATAAAAACAATATAGTAGTACAAAATGACAATAACATGAACAACTGTAAAAACTTGTTTTATAATGTGTTACTAGTAAACATTATTTTTATTTTTTTGTTGTGTTAGTTGTGTAGGATAAACATTGTTAAAAGTAAAGTTTTTGCATAACTATCATTTAGATTCTTCAAATCCATTAGATGTTGCTAGCAGAGTTCATGTCGATAAAGGTAATAAGAGTAGTTCGAAGTTATAACTTTAATTAATCTTAAATAAAAAGTTTTTAAGAAATTTAACTTTACACTACTTTTTAATTATTACAGATTTAATAATATAATAATAATAAATAAATCAAAAGGTACTAGCAGATGATGATGATGATGATGATGATTGATGTTTAGATATATCAGAGGTATGCACAGCACTAAAAAATTATTATCTGAAAGATTATGGCAAAATAAATGAACTTCAACCACTATTAAAAGCACCTGCTAATGTTGATCTAATACAAAAATTTGTTGATCTTTGTATTGTTGATGCACATAATGCTCAAATGGATGTTGTTTGTAGCGTTGAACGAAATAAATTTCTTGAAAAGCAAATGAGTTATACACCAATTCCATATAGTGAAATATTTATGAACGAAAAATCAGTAATATTAATATCTGGAATAGCTGGTATTGGAAAAACATGGTTGCTCAGAAAGTGTTTGCTTGATTGGTCGAAAAATTTGATTTGGAATAATGTTGAACTTGTGTTTTATTTGGAATGCAAGAGGCTTAATCAATATCAAAATGTTTCGAATATTAATGAATTACTAAATGTTTTTTACAAACATATTTTAAATGATTTTGATATTAGTAAGCATACTACATTGTTTATAATTGATGGATTAGATGAGTTTAAATATTTAAATGAATTATTAAATCCAAATTTAAGTTGTACCTTTCCGATTGTTAATGCTTTAGCAGAAATTCAAAGTTATAAACATGTAGTTGCTGGTAGAGTTTACGCAATTGATAAATATCAAAATATATATCCAGAGCATATTGATAAGTTAACCATTCAAATAATGGGGTTTAACCAAGATGGAGTTGAAAATTATGTAGAAAATCATGTCATAGAAGAAAAAAAAAAAGTTGTTAAAGCAACTTTAAATGAGTCTCCAATTGCAAAAGTTATGGCATTTGTTCCATTTTATTTATCTTCCATGTGTAAAATTATTAGTGATTCAAGCAAAATATATACAACTTCTTTCTTAACGATGACAGAATTGTATGCAAATATTTTTTTATACTTTTTGCAAAAACACATTATCAAAAATAATGGATTGGTTTATGAAATGATGGCAAATGAAAATAATAAGAAATATGTATTAACCATTTGTAGGATAGCTTTTGAATTGTTTATTGAAAATAAATTTATTTTTTCAAAAGAAGAAGTTTTACTATTTATCAATAACTTTAATGAAGTTGATGAAAGTCTTTTTGGTTTTATTGAAAGGGTTGAAACACATCTTGGTTATTTTTACCAATTTGCACATTTGACTGTAATGGAGTTTTGTGCATCTGTATATGCATACAATTGTTTAAGCTTTGAAGAGATTTTGGCCAATGAAAAGCTGAAGAGTTGTTTATCAATGATTTGTGGATTAAGCAATAAAAACCAAAATATTATATTAAAGTTTCTTGTTAACCTGAATCCTTCTAAAAAATCAAAAAAGGAGTCTTCACTTTTGATTCCTATTTTGGGTAAGTAAGTAGTTTGTTATTAAACTTTGGTGCATTTTTGATAAATATACATATGTACAAATGTACAAATTTTGTTTAATGTCATTTTTTTTTAAAGAGAAAACATATAATTATCAAAATATTTTTATCATAAAAATATTTTTTATATTATTTTCTTTTAAGCTTTTTTTTTTTTTTTTGATTAGTTGCTATTTTATATCTTTCATTCTCTGCATTTGATATGATTTACTTTTATTGATATGATTTACTTTTATTGATATGATTTACTTTTTTTTTTTTATTTGGTGTGTTTAACAATATTTAGCAACTGTTTTAGGGAAATTTAAATAAATATGTCAATGTTCTTTTTTTCTGCACAAGTTGCTTGACACAAATCTTTATGTATGTATATTCTTTCTTAAAATATATCCAAAAAACATTTTAGCACATTTCTTGTAACAAGAGTCTGGCTTTGACATAGTATTTGCACTAAAATTAGTCCATAGAGCCACAAAAACAGAGGCAGTAGGTCATATGTAGTTGCACTTTTACCTTAATCAAGCATTTCTTGAATCGTCTAATTAATGTTTGTACCCGTATAAAGACATTTTATCTCTCGATTTATATCAGCATTATCAAACAAACCATTTTCTATTATGTGATCCAGATACTTGAATTTGTCAATGAAACTAATTCACATCTTTTGCTAAGGTAAACAGTGCAAAGTTGCTTGACACATTATTACATCTCTGTTTTGGGTTAAATAACATACACACCCTTTTTTTTTTTTTTTTTTTTGTATTAATTAAATGGCATGTTAATGGCAGTGGCTTCAACATTCAATGCAGTTAATAATTTTGCAATGCAAACCAAGATCGAGCACTCAATACAATATCGTCGGCATGTGCCAAAAGATTCAAAAAAATTTCACCTATGTAACATCCAATATGCATGTTTGTAAATATTGAAAATCAGTGTTCTTATATAACATATGAACAAGAACAGTGAAAGATTTCTACCTTACTGTACACAATTGCTTATGTTAAAGCTGTCAGAGTTTACTTTCTGCCATCTGGCAAACATAGTTTGATTCTTGTACCAAAATGCAAGTAGATAGGCAACGTTTATAGCAATACCCTTATCAATTAATTTAAAAAACAGTTTTCAATTATTAATGGTATAAAATCTATAAAGCATGCAAATACATGGCTTCCTCTAGAAATAAAGTATTTAACTGTCTTTTTTAAACAATATGTACAAGACATTGTGGAATGACTTTTCTTGAAACCAAACTGAAAATAATCAGCATTCTCATGAGATATGGTTCTTTCTAATTAAATACCTTCAAATATTTTAGAACAAGCCGGAGAGATTGCAATTACTCTGTAATTATTTACATCTGTTAAGTCTCCGATTTTAGATTTTACTAGAATAATTATCGTGGCTTAAGAAGGTTAATGCCAAATGTCCATGCAACAAGCATAAATTAAAAAAAATACTTAGATAAGGAGACAGTCTATGTCCTCCATATATAAATGATTCCATAAACAAGCCATCTGGTCCAGCAGATTTTCTCTTTTTTTGCTTATACAAAGGATTAGTTCCATCTATAATAGTAACTCTAACAGGTATATCTAGTAATAAAGAATACACTTTTTGCTCAACCTGTATTCTATACATTCTATACTATGCTGGTTATCATTAAGTGAATTATATATTGCTTGAAAATGTTTTTTTCTTATATTGGCAATGTCCTTGTCACCAGTAACTCTGCCAATACTAGCAACATGATTGATTGCCTTTACATTAATGATATTCTCTGTAACCTCTGTCAGCTTAAATTTACTCAGTATGATTTTTACAGTACCTAAAAGCAAGTTTAAATACTGCTCGAGTTTTTTTCATTCTTTCAATTACATGTTTAGGTTTTCCATCAATAACCAATTTTTTGAATGCATCCCTGCATTTTTTTTTTCTTAACTAAAGCTCATTCATAAAATATGTAATTCATAAAATATATAGTTATGCCTTTTTTTTTATGTCATACCACACATCCATCTGTTTAGTCACACCACACATTCATCTGATCGTTTTTTACTTTTCACAAATACTATTTCATAAATTCTAAAGTTTATATAACAAAAAAAGGATATTGTATGCCTGCATCTAAATAAATAGTAATCAGATATGTTTATATCCATAATATGTATGCATAAAATGCATCTAGGAAACTTTTAGCTTTTCTGAAATAAATGTTTGGAAGCTTTTATTACTTCTCTTCAATTTTAACTCAAGCCTCATTCTACTCCACATTTTTCACCATCTTGAGCAGTTGCTTATTAAACAATAATGCTTTTTTTTCATCTTTTTTACAAGAACATCTCTCTCTCTTAAGAACAAATTTCCTTTTATTATTGCAAAAAGCTAATGTAAAAAAGTCTTGTCTGATGTTAAGCTCTGTTATTCTCAGTTTACTAAATCTTGTATCTTTCTCAGATGTTTGGTTTCAGAGACTTTTGGTTAGTCTTCAACATTGTCGTTAACTAAAGTCTAACATTTAATCTTTAGTTCATGTGTTTTTTTTTACTTCTCCACAAAATAAAGCAGATTTATTTGCAAAGAAATCTTATCCTTATTTGACTCTTGAATATAATAGCCATACTCTTCCTAACACTTGAACAGATTAAATCATTGTTATCCAAATCACTTTTCCAATGGCTTCCAATGATAAAGTTAATTCTTAATTAAACACTTCTACAGTTTGTGCTTCATAATAGATTTTCATCATAGTTCAAAAAGCGTTCTCCAAAACTCTCATCAATTGTTGCTAAACTTTTATAATGTGCTAATTAAGTGGTTCTAATTTTTTAAAACTCTAGAAAACACTTAGACCTCTCCAACTATCCTACAAATAGCTTTTTCTATCTTATTAGTTTATTCATATAAAGATTTTGAGGTTGTTAAATGTTTTTTTTTCTAACTGCAGTAGTAAAGTTGTTAATTAAGGCCTACCATCTTCTTTATTCTAAGTAACTTTAAGACTCCTATATTGTTACTTATCTACAATAACGATCTTCATTGAATGTAAAGTAGCTCTATTTCCTGACGACTCAACTTAATACTCGTCTCTTGACAAAAAGTCTTCAGTTTTTTTTGTAACAGTCTAAGGCTTGCAGTGGCTTATGGCTTTTAAGTCTGGATTTAAAATCCACAACTTTTATTAGACAACAAAACTGATTTGTTTAGTGCAAAAAAATTGCAATATTGTTGGCATTCCTATATTGTTATATAGTAACCTTCTTATCCTCAGACAAAGTCTAAATGCAAATTATAATTGTAATTAGACCTGCTTTATCTCCCATTGTTCTAAGGTTGCATTTCTTTTTTCTACAAATACAATCATGATCAATGCTCAAACAAGCTATCATCTCTATTACAATAAAACAAAATTCATTCTTGCTTGTTTCTTATTCAACAATTTGTATACTTTTACTGTATCTGTTATACACAATGTTATACACAAATTTTGCAATCAATTTTTTCTGATATTACTGTTTTATTTTCGGTTGTATGCTTGTGTAAAAAAACAAAAAAGTTTAATAAGATATGGGTCTTGAACTACAGACATTCCGTTTACAAAGTCAACACCATATCTAAATATGCTAAATGTGCATATAAGTATGAAAACAATCAATATACTTATTTTAAAAATTATTATTATTTTTTCCATAAAAAAAAGAAACTTAATTAAAATTTACTAAATTAATTGACTTATTACAAAACTAGTTATTGAATATTGTATTGTCATCAAGCTAGAGTATGTATGCAAAATTTGAAGAAAATCTATCATCAGGAAGTGATTTATTACAAGATTTGATGCTCACAGACAAACAATCAGTGACGATGAGTAAATAAAAGCATTGGTATAAAAGCCCCTTACATTTGCAAAAAGACCTCTAAATTTGCAAAATATGCCCCCAAAATTCCTTCCCTCCCCCCCCCTCCTTAATAGGTGAGTCTGGGTGAACCTAGCCGCTGCTCTAGACAGTACCTAAAAAAGTTCTATAGGCACTTTTTTAAGTAAGATTGCGCAAAAGTTGAACAAAAGAGCGGTAAGAAAAGATTATTCAATGTGAAAAAGTTTGAAAAGCTTCCAAAGATATTTTCTGTTTTTCCCGAGGTGGAATCTTTTAATGGTTTTATAAAAAACCTTTTTTAAAAAAGACTTTTAATCAAAACAGAAAAACCTTTTTTTAATCTGCAGTTTTATTTTTAACTCAAATTAAAAAATGTTATATCTATTTTAATACACAATACAATTTTAAGCACGCAAAAATTGATTCAGTAAGTTATATTATATAGGCCAACAGATATACGATAGGGGTGTTTAGAAAAAAAAACTTTTGATTTTAAAAAACCAAACCATCTAAATTTGAAGCAAATATGCTTAAACTAACTCCCAAAAAATTTGAGCACCATTGTATCACTCTTTCCTTGTGAAAATCCTGACTAAAAACGGTTTATTTTAAGCCACGAATCAGAATTGATTCAGAATTGAGTTAATTAAACTCTATTGATTGCCTTTCTTTGTTCTTTTTTTCTTTCTGTTACTCTCTGCTGCCAGTAAGCAAAAAAATAATCAATTTTAACTGAAATAATAAATAATAAAAATATCTTCTAAAATTTTTTCAGTTTAAAGTTTAACCATTCTACTAAACTTAATATCCTCTGTCCTAAATATGAACTTACTTACTCCAACCAAGTTTTCCAAAAACATCAAATCCTCAAGCTTATCTTTGCTGATCTTTTATTATGTTATAATTTTTTATGTCTTATATGTTTTTCAAATCTGTTATGCCCAAAAGATTGTTTTTAAGGTTTTCTGATTTGCTAAATATTATTCTTCAGACCAGAGTACTGATTTAACTTTGTGAAAACTAACATCACTAACTACATCAAATCTCATGTTTATCCAAGGTTTCTTAACTTTCTTCAACTTAAAGTTTAGTTATAACTAAATT